CACACACACACACACACACACACAGCATGTTGTAGTTCAGCTCAGTTCAGAGACGATACCATCCAGTAGGGGGCAGCTGTGTGTTTCAATGAAACCAGTCATTCAAAACCTTGACAGAGAACTTGAACCATAGTCATGCTATAATGAAGATACATCTTTATTCATATAGCTCTTCTTAAGATAAGGTAACAAAGTGCCTCACAAAGAAAAATAAAAACAAGTTTAACACGGATGGGTTGAATACAGAGGGCAAATTTCCCCATGTTCGCATGTTGCATGCTGTGGGTGGGACCATAAAGACAAATCTTAATCTTGATAAAAACAGGAACGAGGCAAAATCAGGGAAGTTAAGAAAAACTGTTGTTTTCAGATTTGACTTAATGGCTGAGTCAGCAGGTGTTTTCTTATCTGAGGTTAAGATGTGACTGAGTGCTGACACCGAAAGAGATAAAGAGGAAACTACACGGATGCCTGGATATTGAGTCATCATTTGTGCATTGTGGGAAAAGTGGTGGCTGTTGCATTTTTACAAAGGCTTATCACCCAATCCAACTGTGATGGATATGTTTGATATGTGTGTTGCTGTAACAACCCCGGTCTCATCTGTGTGTTTCTCCAGTGAATGGATCAACGCGCTGATGTTAAATTAAAAAACGTTGTCACTCGTCTCCATCGCTTGTTATTAATTCATATCTGTTCACAGCGATTAAAAACATACGATTCATCAAGGCTGCAGCTATCAGCTGTTTCCAGACATCTGTCAGCGTATTGTGATTTTCCTTTTCCTTTCCAGCATCTACACACACACACACACACACACACACACAGCACATGACTGCTCTGCCCACTCAATCACTGACTGCTAACCTTTGTTGCATGGTGCCCCTAGGTGTGTGCGCCAATGTGTGTGTGTGTGTGTGTGTGTGTGTGTGTGTGTGTGTGTGTGTGTGTACATGCTTTTTCATGTGGGTTCTAGAATGTGAGCAAATATTTTCTTCCATTTACAGGCATCACTGATATGATTTATCCTGTGTGGGTCTGTGTGTGTGTGTGTGTGTGTGTATGTCCTTATTTTGTAAAAGATGCAGACAGCGTTTTGTTGTGAGCGAAAGGTCAACACACCACATCTCCATCTTGTCCTCCTCAGGGGACGCTGCACGACGATCACACTCTTCAACACACACGTCCTCTTGTGCAGCTAAAAGTCACGTCAGGCGTTTAATCGACGTTATCGAGCGATAGATTCACATTGTTCTTAGTTTTCTAACAGAGCACTTGAGGAGAACAGCGTGTCTCAGTGTTTCGGAATAAACCACAGAAGAAAAGAAAGTTAAGATTATGCAAACATGATTCATATCAGTTATCAGATGTTTCATCTACAAAGCCACCTTTTTCCAAACGTCTGTGGTTTCGCACAAAGTCCAACGATGTGTTGATGAGAATTATTTTATCACTATAACTGACTCGAATTGACTCAGTGTGGTTTGAAATAGAGTTAATTTGACCTCATTCGATCGAGCTTTGACTCAGTTTGGGTTCGTTATCGGTCTTTGTTTGCTTTGGGACCATTAGAGACACATGATGAGAAGAGGCACGATGTGGATTTGCTTGATTTGATTTAAAATTTAAAGTGTAAATTCAGTCTAACCCGACACGACTGGATCTGATTGATCCAAGATAATTGAACTGTCCCTGGAAACACGGGTACTTTTCAGAGTTAAGGTCATTGAGACCAGGGGAACACAGACGTCCTGATCGAGTGACATTTACTCTAATGAAAACATTAAAACAAGCGGCAGCTCTCCACCTGTGCACAGACGCTGCTGTGACTTAGCACTGCCGCGTCGATAATGTCATCATCAGCTTCTGCCTGTTCCCGTTAACGTGAGGGCGTGACTGAGGCTGCGGGGAGAAAATAAAGGACGAGACGAGAACCTGAAATGACGCAGGTTGTGACTGTGAAGGTTTTTAAACAGTCTCCGTTGCTGGAGGTAAAATAAACACAAGTCTGTGGATCATCGTGGATGAACTGAATTTATTCTGCTGCTCAGAAACTGATAATCCTCATGCTGATGTTTATTTATACTTTGTCGGATACGTTTACTCAATCGACAACTTTTACTGAACCCAACCAACAACCGGACGACACGACAGCTCCCAAAAATGAAGCCAGAGCATCTTGACTGCCCCCTGGTGGCTGCCCGCAGCAATGTCACAAACCCGGCCTCCTCCGTGTTAACAGACTGGACAGGGACCAAACTGAAAAGTCGAATCATGTCATTTGTGTGTGTCACTCTTGAGGGTGTAAACACGGGGCGATCGACAGCTGAGACTGACTCTCGATTGGTCGATCGTGTGGGTCGACAAGAACTCGACACCACGGCTCCGCCCCCCCCCCCCGATCGCTATTGTACAGACTCTGATCCCAAATAAGGTCAAATGTGCAAGATGGCGGCGTTCGTATCCAGGACATTTCAGTGTTGTTTCTGTTGGGAGGAAGTGGAGACATGTGTGTGTGTGTGTGTGTCTTCCTCTGTCTTTCTTTAAACTTCACAGACAATAGAGAAAGACCAGTAAACTGTAACTGTTTGATCCCAGTGTTTGTGTGTACACACCTTTGGGTGTTTCAGTGTGTGTGTGTGTGTGTGTGTGTGTGTGTGTCTGTTGATACAGGGAAGTGGGAATCAGACCTCACACCTGTCAGTGTTCCCTGCAGTGTGGATGCAGACTCTTTGTTCCCCTGCGGCCGCCGCTCTCGCTGGTTTCCGCTCACAGAGACGTTATCAGCAGCAGCAGCAGCAGAGGAGCATGGGAAAAAGACAGAATACACAGTGAAGCGAAGTGAAGAGGAGGAGGCGTCAGAAATCACAAACGTAAAGAGAACTGCTGGAGAACACGAACAGACTGTCTTATTGGTTTCAGTCAGATAGAGTCGTGGAAACAGATCCTTCCAGAAACACTGCCGGCTCTAAATCTGGTTTATAGTTTCTTTGCCATCGGATGATTCTCACATGCAGTCGAAAGTATTTTCTCCTCAAAAGGTCACGGCCAAACTTTTCACCTCCTTTTTCTTCACTGGATTCTTATCAGTGTCTTAATCAATTTTAAAAAAGGTTGTTTTTCTTGTTCGTAGCCTGTGACATCTGGAATCCAAACTTTAAGTAACCTTGTGCTGCATGTTGTATTTGTTCAGAAATATTTTAAAACCGCAATTATTACAGATTATTACCAGATGTTTTCTAATCTGAGGTTAAGATGTGATTAAATCAAAGTGTCTGACACTGAAAGAGATAAAAAAATGGAACAACGCTGATGCCTGGATATTGAGTCATCATTGGTGCATTGTTTGATAAAATAATAATAATTTTTAAATCAAAAATCAAATAAAAAACAATTGACTAAACATGGAAACAGATTTGTGTGCATGAAAAACTGTCCAGGAGGAAACATGTACAGCTATTGAATGAAGTTTTCTTAATTTGAATACGGCCGGGATGGAAGAAGAGTTGTTCTGCTTGGTCGTAAAACGTAAAAGTTATCAGTAATGTTGGCCGGTTCTCTTCCGTCTTCCATGTGGTTATTTGTCAGGTACACATGCTTCCTCTCCCTCTTCTCTGTCGTCTTGAAACGTATTTAACGCCGTGTAACGTCTGTTCTGCTTGATCTGCACTGATTGGTACACAACGCAAAGTATTTGTGAGTATTCAGAATCTAGATGCTGCTTCTTTCACAGTGAGCACACTTTACTTCTAACAAAGGCTTCAGCTGGATCCAGTAAATCTTTATTTCAGAAAGCAGCTTCTCCTTCACACAACAGACATTCCTCCTCCGACAGTGTCGAGCCTCTCCGGGACTCGGCCGCCTCTCGGCCCTGAGACGCGATGGGCAGTGACCCTCGAGGTCGACTGAGGCCTCGTGTGAAATGTTGCAGTAACGTGCAGTAACCTCTGTAATGCAATTTCCTAAAACACTGGTTCAGAGTAACATTGTGTTACGTTGTCATGAGGCTCTGTTTTGATTGTAGCTGACTGAAACACATCAACATTGTTTTTTACTCTGCAGAGCATCTACAAAGTATTGTTGTGATGGTCTGTGTATAT